CTAAGAAAGTATTCTACTATCCATTTGATTAGAACATTTGTTACCGATCAAACTTAGAAAATCTATATTCGAATATTGAGCCAAAAATAAACTTAAGTGAAATATGATCCAGTCTATTTTTCATGTTTTTTCTCGCTGAAAAAAAAACGATTCAAATATTACAAAAAACAAAATTTATGACTAAAAGAGACTGACCAGTTGCAGTTCTAAACATCAAATTGGAAGATTCAAGCAAGTAATACTAAGTGAATTTAAACTTCACCCTATTGCACAAGCAAGTGGCTATCACGACTGAGTAGCTGAGTGGATAACGTGATGGTCTTTGAAGCGAAAGTTACTGTGTTCGAGTCTCTGAGTGAACATCAACTCTGAGATGCAGGTACATTAGAGCTGACGAGTCCCAAATAGGGCAAAACGCGCGTCCTGTATTCCACTGCTAACCACTATCCATCTTTGTTTAAAATGAAAGATTTGTTTGAGATTATCTATCGTCAGAGTTAAGTACATTCCTTGATAACATAGACAGATGTCTAGGAATTACCACAAATGGACTCTGGTCAAAAAAATCACTTAGTAAACTTCAACTTGGTTGTTCAATAGTGGCGTGTAATTCCCTTCTAAACATTAAAAACATAAAGTTCATCAAAGGCGTCAATATTGTTTTCATCACCAGAAAACACACGGTCATCCAGTTACTGGTAAAAAGCAAGTAGTAACTCTAAGACAAAATAGATAGAGGTTCAGTGTGTCCTGGTTAAAAATGATCAAGAAGTTCGTTCCAGACCCTCTATTGAAAATTTGTCTCAAGCTTAATTATTTAAGAAGGGGGTTTTGTGGAGATCTTAGTAAATTTACATTTGAAATCATTAGTCAATTGAAGCTAGACCACCATGGAAAACTTGGAAGCACTGGATGGCCATTTCGTCCTATTGTATAACTTCTTAGCAGTGCGTCTTCCAGTGCTTTCAGGTTTTCCATGGTGGTCTAGCTTCAATTAACTCATGATTTCAACTATATAAAATAATTTATTTAAAATAACTGTCAAAACTGTAAGAAAATATTCTATCCATTAGAAGCTACAAAAGCCTGCTTAAACAAAAGGCTAAAAATTTTAATAGACTCCATAATATGCACAAAAGTAACTCAAATGTAGCTCCACATCATTATCCTTCAGCTAGCTATTTTAAAGACACTATTCTCCACAATAATCGTGAAAAAAATTAGTCATACCTTTTGATTTTTTTTATTTTTAATTTTATACTACTTACGAGTAGACTTTCGACAGATGTCAAACAAACTTCACATGGATTAGTCACTAGATAGCCTACTATAATTTCAAAAGATAGAATTTGATTATTTCGGTCGATATAAATGTACCGTGTACTGTTATTTCATCATGTATCAGAAAAATTAGTGGGGAAATATTTATATTCTGAAAGTAGAACAACACCAACATGTTCTTTAATAATGATGAATCAATATTCTAAGAATATTAATACTTGAATTTATGAGTCGATCAAAGCTAGACCACCATTGAAAACCTCAAAGCACTGAGCAGTCATTTCGCCCAAATATGGGACTCCTCAGCACCGCGCATCCTCCAGAATATTTAATTTATGACAAAAGTATGAGATCACTTCTTTATGGATTGTTACAATGAATCAAATTTATTGACTGAGTGTTTGATATCACTAGATTTCACCCTCTTCTACATGTTTATCTATTATTTTCCCAAATTTACTCAGCATACAGATTGCTGTTTGTCCATCATATATATATAGTGCTGAACTTCGGACATAACTTATCAGTGAACTTGTTCCAGAGGTTCACAAAAAAGTTTGTCACGATTGAACTCATGATTATTTTCTAAACTCGAGTGGTTATGAAATTTAATTAACTTTTAGGTTAATTTTCGTCAATTAATAACTTGATCCAGGGGATAAATGAAAATCAAATAATTAACAACTTTGAAATTAATATCAACAAAGACGGATTGTGGCAAGCAGGGAAATCTAGGACGTATGTTTCGTCCTATTTGAAACTGTTCAACTGGGTGTACCTCCATCCCAGAATTGACGTTCACACCGGGACACCAATCCCGTACAACTCACTCATCCTAGATTCCACAGCTATGAATATTTCAACTATACTTAAAAGGTGCTTGTAACTTGATGGAAATGTCGAGGCAATCATCACAGGATGCACATACTCGAAAAGAGACTGATTAATTGCAGTCCTAAATATCAATGAGAAGATTCAAACAACCAGTACAAATGAACTTGAAACTAATAGTTTACAAATTTAAGTCAGCCTATGACGAGATACTATCTGTAAATTAACCGAAAATGTTGAAAGAAAAACAGAGAAAAACTATTAGTTAACACCATTCCAATTATCTTCTCTCATGAAATATATATATAGATCTTCAGTACCCGAGAGATCTAAAGGCTCTTGGTTAGATTCCTTGTTAGATCGTGGATCTAGTCCTCTTCTAGGTCAAACTATCTATTCAATGCTCTTTATTTTCTAATGGGTATTTAATTGAGATCAGTTTATGATATATGCTACAAAATTTAACAATACTTAAAAACTTTCCTGTAGTTCAGTATTAATGTATCTGTTGAAGACTTTCAGTCAATTAATACAATATAAAGAGATAAGAACAATCAAATAAGCATGAAATAGAATAATCATATGAAAATTTACTTACTTACTTACTTACGCCTGTCACCCCTCGTGGAGGAGCATAGGCTGCCCTCCAGCATTCTCCATTCAACCCTGTCCTGAGCAATCCTTTCCAGTTCTTCCCAGTTGCTTTTCATCCTTTACATATTTACTTTTATTTCCTGGCGTAATGTTTTCTTTGACCTTCCTCTTTTCCACTTTCTTTCAGGATTCCAACTTAGGGCTTACCTATAGCTCTTCTAGAGTTACTCCCAGTCCCAAACCCGAGTAAAGAAGGAAAGTTTGGTATGGGGTCGGCAACCCCATCCCGTAGAAGAAAAATCCTCCTTAAAAAAAACACCAGACAAATTAAACAAATCATTTGAAAAACCGCATATAAATCGTAAAAAATTTTTTAATTAAGATTCTAAATTATTGTTGGGATGATCCTGCAAATTTCTCGCAATCGACATGACAAGCTCATGAAACATTATGGAGCATTTTATCCAATCAGCGTTTGATTAGAAGTTTTGCTAGAAATATCACGAAAATGAAAAGTCACAGGTAGAGGTTCTGGTTGGTTGATTACTACACTGCTACTATGTTTAGTAGTATTCTAAAATTTTCAGGGAAACCCAAAGACTTTTAAAATACTATAAAAACCCTATATTTTTTTGTACATAAATGAACCTTAGGAGTCCAGTGCTTCCCTCATATTTTGTGCCTTTTCTCTCGTGTTCAAGTCGATGTGTAGTTCTAGCTTAGAGGTTACGAAACTAGCTTAGGATCCGAGTATATAGTACATCAATCAGTAAGACTTATCAATTATCATTTCAATATTCTATAGAGAGATTTGATTTACTTAAAGAATAAAAGATAAAAGAAAAATTTTTTTCCAAAAAAAAATTAAAAAAAGTGAATTCATTAAAAAAGAAAACAAAAAGGAAAAAATGAAAAAAAAAGTTGATCAAGTTTTTTTCTTTTTATTTTTCATTATTATCGAATATAATCAGAAGGGGTTTTGTGGAGATTTCAGTTCATTTGTTATTTTTCTCTTTTAATTGTGAATTTATTATCGAAACAAAATTACCTTTACTCAATGTTTCCCCCAACATGTATATGTGTATTATGTGTGTGTATATGTATATATGCATATATGTGTATGTGTGTAAATGTAGGACATACTCACACACACACACACATTTACATATCTAAGTATCCATGGTGTCAGACATTGAATATTGTCAATAAATAACAACTAAATTGTAAATTTTTACGGGAAAACAAAAAAAAACAACTTGAAACTATTAAAATGTTTTAAGTGTCCCCCACTATCTACTTTGTTGTATTACAATCATAATCATAAAATAAATAAGAACAAAATAGTTGAAAGATATAAAGAAACTAACACTTGAACACATATACACTAAATCCATGTAAAATAAAGCTTCAAGAGATATTTCCTGAAGTTCTAGTGAGAATTCGTGACCAGTGAAGCTCAACCCTTGTCGGATGCAGACAGTTAACCATTTCAGACAATTGTTGAATGGTTACACAAGATCATGGATAAACTAGAGTTACACATTAACACTGTTAGATGTCCGCTCAGTAGTTTAGTAGTTCAGTGTTCGAACGTAAGACTTAGGGTCCTTCGTTCGAATCCTACGTGTAGTAACTCACTGAACACAATGTTAGATGTGTCTCTCAATTTCGTGGATTGGTTGAAGTCAACCATCGACATCGTTGAATGCCGGCTCAGTGGTATAGAGGTTATGCATTCGTGCACGAGACTGATAGGTCCTGGGTTGGAATCTCTTGAGCCGGGATCGTGGATGCTCACTGCTAAGGATTGCTGCAATAGGACGAGTTGGCCATCAAGCAGTGCTTCCAGGTTTTCCATGATGGTCTAGCTTCAATTGACTCATGATCTCAAATATATAAAATTACTAAAATCTCCATAAAACCCCCTTCTGATAATTTCAGGATTTCGATCATCATCATTAAAAACTAGACAAAGATTATTAATGTTTGTTTGAATCTTCCCATCTATGTGTTAGGACTGAAACTGGTCAGTCTCTAATTGACATATGTGCATACTGTGCGTATTGCCTCGATATAGTCTTAATTCACAAGCATTGTAAGCAGAGATGGATAGTGGCTAGCAAATAGGACGAAACGCGCGTCCTGGATCCCACTGCTAGCCACTATCCATCTCTACTTACCAAAGATTATTAATGTTCGCGACACAGTGATTAAATTGTGTAAATTTTCTTATGATCATGTAGAACTATTTCTAATTAACAATTACTTGGCTGTTTTTTTTTCATATTTTTCAGAGTCATATCAACTACCAACTAATGAATATGTTACAATTTCAAAAATTATCTTTTGTTATTTTAACAACTCTTTATTTATCACTACCATGGATCATATCCATGGTGAATACGTTACCAGCAACGAATAACAATGATCCAAATATTCTATATCGTTTCCCACCATCATCATCAGGATCATTATCACATCAAAATGGAGTAGAAAGAGTTTATTTACCAGAAGAACTTCTTGCACAACTGTCAAATGATCCATATTTCAATTCAATGTATTTACCAAAACGAGCTGCTTACATGGATTTACCATGGGGTAAACGTGCTTTAGCTAAACGTGCAGCTTATATTGATTTACCATGGGGTTAATTTTGAAATTAATTCAACACTTTATACCAAATTACATACATACATACATACATACATTACTTTAATAATACATACTATACTATTCACTGAGAACACTCTATCTATCAGTCATTATAACTAATCATTAATAGACTGAAGGTGAAATGTAAGACTATTGGAAAGTTAAAACAAAATATATATACTGTCGATATTCTATAATTCATTGGTTCTATGAAAACTTTGTACTTTCAACAATGGAAACAATCTTTAATAGTGTTCATTTTAAACAATGAATTAGTTCTTCAATCAAATAATAATTATGTCCGTTATCTACTTTTTTGTTTAAGAGTTCCCACATGGAACTAGTATTTTGTTTTATCAGAAAGGGAGTTTTGTGAAGATTGTAGTAATTTAATATTTGAATTCATGGATCGATTGAAGCTAGACTATCACGGAAAGCCTTGAAGCACCGGACGGCTTTCCTCACTAATGACTGACTTCATGACGTATTTGCTAGAGTTCTAGTGAGAAGCAGTGATTAGTGGAATTGTGAAGCAGTTACTCACTGAAGACAATGATAAACGGTCGAAGTTAGATATTAACATCGTTGGATGCCGGTCAGCTCAGTGGTCTATAGGTTAAGCGAAGATCCTGGGTCTGAGTTCCGCGTGTGAGATCGTAGATGCTCACTTTTGAGGAGTCCCATGCTAGGACGAAACGGCCGTCTAGTGCTTTTAGGTTTTCCATAGTGGTCTAGCTTTAATCTACTCATGAATTCATCTATTAATATTGTTTTGTTTAATTTCGTTTGAAAAGCATTTAGATAGCTATGAGACTTTAGTAGTAATAATTATCTAGATTGAGTAATAGCCAGACCATGTCTCCGTAGTCATTAATGATCATAAAATTTTATCGACCAAGTTACATTGTGTCAATTAATTTAAGTGACTGAATATCCTATGGGCTATTTTTTTAATTTTAGGTGATTAGGGGTAGCTCTAGGATTTATGATCCTTCAGTTTCCACTTATAATCGATCTGGAATAATTTCGTATATACTCTTAGGCTAATCCTTGATGTATAAATGTATGAAATTTCACTTGAGAAATTCAAATGTCATTTACGAAGTAGGTTGGAATCGATTTGCTGTAAACATTTTAAAGTCATCAGATCACAAGTTTAGCAATCAGGCCACCTAATGGGAGATAATGGTAAGAGGGTCATTTAAGTATAAATACCAATGTATGCATAAACCATAAATCACTGACTGACTTTATTTATAATCAACAAAAGGATATATAAAAATGGATGATAAACACACACACTATCGTTCACTTATAAGCCTATGCATAAGTCTTCAGACGTCAATATTATAATAGTGATTAGTGAGAATATACTGATATTTATTTATTCGTAGCAAAACAGGTTGTATGTGTAAACAGTTCGAAGAGCTTCCTACATAGTCACGACAGAGGTAGCTTAGTAATAACATTCCAAGGCGTGAAGTTTTCATGACCTAGATTTAATTTCCATGAGGATCGTCAGCTTCCTTAAGAATTTAGATAAACCTCATTGAAGTGTGTCAAGTAGCACGAAACCTATACTTCTGATCGCATCACTTCGGTATTTTATCATACAACATCACAACCGACGAAACTGACCTTGATCAAACAACCGATATTGACAACAGCTTCAATGCTATAGTTATGTTGACTTCAGACAACCATTGTTTGATTTTTTCCCGATCGTTTCTTACGACTAAAAATGATAGGATATTCTCTATGTAGTAGTTTTACTTGCTGAAATGACGGCCAAAATTACTGAAATATTTCCAAATTACTCTCTCATTTTTCAGTAACAGTGAGAACATCTTTAAAACAGTCCTTATGCCATAAGACACTGATGTGGTCTACTTATATCCATATAAGTAGTACATGGTGAGGGTCAGACACAGAATGCATTTTGCAGAAGATCGATAAGGAACGAACAGGAATGAAGCAAAATCGGTACAAAATTGCATGAGCAATGAAATCAGAGAAGAAAGACTGATATTTGCAGAAGGAACAGTTAGGATTGAGACAATTGTTTGTTATTTTGCAAATTAACTGTTGACTGTATGATAATTAGAATTTAGTGAGATAGTGTGTAATTTGTGCTTAAATACTTTCGATTGTCCCCAACTAGTGTTTTGTTCACTACAATACCACTAGGTTGTATTCTATTTATTTCTGGTGCTTTTCCCGTACAGAAATCTTTAAAACTCTACAATCGAATCTGTAGATTCTATTATTAAGCTCATCAAAAGGAGAATATTTTCAGTCATCATGGTGTATTGAGCTTCTTTTCACTTTTTTCTCAAAAAAATCGATATGCTTCAAAAAGTCTTCAGTCTATAACAAGTGCTTAATTTCCTGTTGAATCATTTATAGATGAAAATCACCAATCAATTGAGGAGAGGCATAGATAGTAATTGGTAAGCAGAGATGGATAGTGGCTGTTAGTGGATTCCAGTTTGACGCGCGTTTCGTCCTACTTGGGACTCGTCAGCTGGATGTACCTGCATCTCAGAGTTGATGTTCACTCTGGGACTCGAACCCAGTACCCTCGCTTCAAACGCCATCGCGCTATCCAGAGTGAACATCAACTCTGAAATGCAGGTACATCCAGCTGACGAGTCCCAAATAGGACGAAACGCGCGTCAAACTGGATTCCACTAACAGCCACCATTCATCTCTGCTTACTATGCTTGTGAATTAAGACTATATCGAGGCAATACGCACAGTATGCACATATGCCAATTAGAGACTGACCAATTTTAGTCCTAACACATCGATGGTAAGATTCAAAGAAACAATACTAAATGAATATAGATAGTAATTGTTTATTATAGGAGATAGGATATAATAGATTATAACTCCATCTGTAGATCCTTCGAGGACTACTGCCGGTCCGAAGCCCGGATAAAGGAGGAGGGTTGGGCATGGGGTTAGGGACCCCATCCCGTAGAAATCAAACTCGCTAAAAACGCTAAGTAATATAATAGATTATACAACATGTTCGACCACTATATACACGAATTTCTTCAAAAGGGGAATATTTTCTTAGATTGTATTGGCGCTTATATATTTCGCCATTGTATAAATGTTACTTCTTTCTGTAGCTAATAGGTATTTGGTACGACTCCTCCTTCTATTGAATTAACTCAAACAGCAAAACATTGTACTGGTTTTTTAATCTGCCAATGTTGAAGACAATCTTTAACCTGAACAAACAAATAAGATAACTAGGGGTCCTATTGCCGCCCAAACAAGAATGATTGAGTCCGACGATCTATTTCCTCTTAACCATGGCAGCAAAACAAACTTTGAAGGTTTTTTAGAAATGTGAAACTAGACCAAGTATTTGGAATCACTTAAGGGGTAAATTAACTGATAGAATGAAAACTGTCAACTCCAATAACATTTAACCTAATAACTACTAAAATGCTGTCGAGTTAGACAGTCAAATCATCAGTACTCCTTGCATTATTGTTGGCAACACTACACTTTTCGTCCTTTAGCACTATTATAGTAACTTTCAGTGATTATCGATGCAAAATATAGTCCCTTTATAATGATTACCACTTATATTGACGCTATTTAAATCAGATGGAATAAGGCTTATGATTTAAATTTATAAGTGACTGTTTAATTATGGTCTATTTTGATGGCGTGAACTTTCGGCTTCACCACCTTGTAAACCATCATAATTACCGTGTCTCTTTTATTACTCGTTCTTCGCTCATTTTGTGATGTTGTTGTTTCATTGTACGATCACTGTGCTATTTACTCAGTGTCTTTCTCGTCGACATTATTTATCAACCACGCTAGTTGTTTTATAGATGGTAGTAAAAGTCTATCGATATCCATAAACTGACATATATTCTTGAATTACTGTCTTCCCTTCAAATCATAATATATTATATAGATTAGTAGGATATGTATTATTTTGATGATTTCTTGAAGCATTTGATCCAGGTTCTCAATTTGTCTTTATGTTGGGGTTAAAAGATCGAAGGCGCAATGAACTACAAATAGTTATTATCCAGTTTCTTTTCCGAGCTCACACTTGCAAACATACCATATGAGTATAGTTTAATGTGTAAATTCTCAGTTAAATGAAATCAATATTACGAATTATAACAGGTCAATCTTTTAATTGTGATGATATTTTGAAAAGTATGATGTTTCTGGAATTCATCGGTCCTTATGTTTGTTTACTTGTCATCTGATATAGAGTTGATAAAGTCCAGTATGAAGAGTGGCATTTTATGGATAGTGTGCTGAAAGCATCTATTTTTCCTCAAAATTAGGAGTTCTAGATGTGATCAGTAATTCTCTGCGTTTTTGAATTTCGGTTTTAATAAAAACCTGACCCAGTTTTCTGAAGATATCTTCACATGACAAACACCCGGGTAAAACTTTGTCAATGCTTATGACTATGGTTGATTCTGATGCAAGGGAAGACTAAAACCCTATGATAGTCGTGAATATTATTATTTAGAATCCCTGAAGGTTAAGTCATCTCAGATATAACTGTGTAAATTGTCGTTGCATAAAAATTCCCTTATGTTTAGGGTCATTTGTATGGAAGTAAATGTTACTTCGAAGAACTAAGATAGGGTTACTGTAGCCTCAAAATTTCATACATTGAAACAGAAAAACATTAGGTTTGTCTAAGTACAACAGTTTGTACTATCAGCTTACAGCGGCAGTATATAATGTAATGCAGGATGTAATTCAGGACGGAAAAAACAGAATTACCTTGAAGGTCAAAAATGAAACTGATAAATCTACTTAAAAATAATTTTGTTGGACTACATCAGCCCACATGATGATCAAGGATTGTTCTATGCACTACATGGCCTTATTACATGATATTGTAGGCTAGGAATTATTAAGTCCACAACTGTCTGCAGTGTGACAATCAGTTAAATGGGACCAAGTCATTTTACTTCTCAAGTAATACGAGTTTCTTTTTGAA